GTGTGGGGGGGGGGGGGATCGATGAGTGTACCGCTATATAGTTGCGAGATTAAGAGTGCAGGTTCAGCCCGTGTCGCGTGCAAAAGGGTCACACTTACAACAGATATAAAATGTAGGCAGCAATAGAATCCCCCCTACCCCCTCCCTCAGTAGCAGCTCTTGCGCTTTGGGGTTGGGCGGGTGCGTCGGGCTGCTGGCGGCTCGAACCTGAGAGACACACATGGACAAAGACACACAAAGAGGTGTGAGGGCCCATCCAATCATCTTGTTCTCGTGTGATGGTCGAGTCACTTACCACGGGCTGGCGGCGCACTCGGCGAGCGTCGGGCGCTTGGTGGGGTCCGCCTCGGTCATCTGCGCTAGGAGCGCCACACACTGCGGTGAGAGGTCGCGGCGGCCAAATAGGGGCTGAGGTGACACTAACACACAAACATAGGCCCACACAGAGCACATTCACGTGGCCACAGGGGGAATGCTTGCATCACTCCAGCTCACCGGCGCGTATGGTGACCTGTCTGAGATATTCTCGTGGCCCAGGCACAGCAGCTGTCTTATCAGACGCCTGCAAGCATAAGACACGAGCCACATGAACATAATGCCGCTACCGTTCAGTCTGTCCATGTGGCGTGCAAGTCGGCTGACCCTATGACATGTACGGCGGCCTTCTCGGCGTCGAACAGACCGTGGGGCACGAATGTCTGCACACGCAAGACAACACACACATCCGGTGCGAATGGGCGTGTTGATGTCTGTCGCCTTGCACCCGGCCGTGTGGGTACCTCTGGGGCATGGATAAAGAGGGAGCCGACGAGGTTGGCCTTATTGCGCACGAATGTGTTGCCCTGTGTGCACGTCAGACACATAGAGAGATACGCGCCGATGTGGTCGCTGGTGCATTGCGCGCGCGTGTGTGTGGATGTGTACCTGCGAGGGGTCGGAGAGGAGCGCGTTGCCGGAATCTATCATCTTCAGGTCCTCCCCGCCAGCCCTCTCGAACATGATATTACCACAGTGGTAGTCCCTGCAGCAGACAGAGGCGACACAAATGGCGACAGATATGCCGAATGAGCAGAAAGAAGTGCGTCTGTGCAGCGGCTCTCTGCATCCACGTGTGTGTGCTGCGTACCCGTGTTATACTCCCCGCGCTATTAGGCCCTTGTTGGCCGTGACGAGCTGGCGGGCCCATTCCCTGGCGAGGGACTCGGTGACGGTGCTGCGCCCGTAGTTGTCGACGTAGATCGCCGACGGGCCAGCGCACCGGTCATACAGCGAGCCCCCCGCCAGGTACTCCAGCTCGAAGAAGGATGCCCCCTCCATATGATAAACTTGCACCCAGACAGATGCCAACCACACACGCCACGCCATGGTATGCCATTCCGTGTCATGTGTCCTCCCTCTGCATGCATGTGTCAGTGCAGCCATGTGCTTACCCCCCTGAGCTGCACGACCTTGTCCAGCCCCTGCAGGCGGCCCAACACCATCATCTCCCTATGCACTACGTCAGTTGTCCATGTAGTACTTCCTCCCCATCTGGTCCTTGGCGTAGGCCCTTTTGTTGGCCACCTTTCGCAGCGCGCACACCCTCCCCGCATCGCGGCGGCGGGCGAGGTATGCCGCGCCCTTGCTGCCCTCTCCCAGCGGGCCGTCGTTGGTGAAGAATGGCTTTGGGAAGCATGGTCCGCTGCCGAGAGGGCTATCCCGCTGCACATAGTGCACGGGGATCGGGGAGGGGTGCTGCAGTGTTGGCGGTGCGGTGCTGTTGCCAGATGGGCCAAATACGGCATGGCGCAGCTTCTCGAGCAGTGGGATCATCGCGTCACTGCTGCAGGTAGAAGATTGTCGACTTGCTGAGGCAAAAAGGAAGAAGCGGAGGAAAGGTGGAACTGCTGTGACGACCACACGGATTGAAGCCACGTACCGTCTGTTGAGAACAATGTCGAGGAACGGAGACGGGTATCAAAGAAGAGATCATCATCTCATCTGAACACAAGACATGAAGGGAGACCGGTCGCACGCACCTGCACACACACCAGCACACCGACACACATATGCTCACACACCAACACCCGCAACACCCCCCTCCCTCTCTCCTCTTCCCGACCTGTGCCTTGTGTGAGACCATTGATGTGTCTGAGCCGTTGGTAGTACTGTAGACGATGCCGATGAGATGAAGATGTCTGTGGGCCTCCATGAGCCCCCCGAACAGGCCGCTGTACGTACATGGGCTCGGTGCCGTAGTATGTACTCGACGCCGGTCTGTGTGAGCGCCTTGCCGAAGTAGTCAGTCGATGCTGTCTGTCGTCCCACTCGTCGCCCTTGTCCTCCTTGTCCAGAGGCAGCCCCGGCCGCTTGAACATACGCAGATACACGACAACAGAATGAACCGCTGATCTCCATCTGGATAAGAGAATGGAGTCATCACTTTTCACTGACCGAACCTTCCTCTGTGTCGCTGCTATGCCAACCGAGTATTAGACACCCCCGAAGTCGACTTTGCTCTACGCCAACCCCACCATCTTGCCGCGCACGTCCTTGTACTTGTAGCCGTGCTTGTGGTTGATCTTGAGTACCAGGCGGCCGAGTTCGGCGGCCCACTTCATGCGGAGGTCGGTCTCGTCGAAGTTCCGCTTCAAAGACTCCTTCACGGCAGTCTGAGCACACGCGCACAATGAGACGCGGACAAGAAACACGCTCTCTGTCTCTCTCTATGTGTGAACGTGCTGTAACCGTACGAGTCCTCCCAGTGGAATGTTCCATATGGCGAAATCATAGCCTACAAATTCCACGACATACATTGCATGTATCATTGGCTTTCTCCTTATCCCACAGTCACTTCCAGTCCTTGCTATTTCATTGTGCTTTGTGCGTATCTGTGAAGGTGACCTTGTCCAGCAGATCGATGATCTTCGGCTCCATCTCCCCCCGCCCTTCTCCGGCCCATTAAGCTCCGCCTTGAGTTTGACGGGCTCGGGCGAGCCGGTGGCGGTGCCCACGGCAGCGAGTGGCGTTGGCTACACAACCAGCAGAATCATCACCAGAGATGAATGTCAAGACAAAGGCAATGATGCTCTCACCTCTCAGCCGGGCCAGCCCTTTGTTCTTCTTGATCTCCTCCTTGCGCCTCCTCTCCCTCTTCTCCTCTCGGACCTCCCGGGTGTCGACACCCTCTGCTTGCGCATCAGAGCGATCCGTGTGTCGTGCGTGTGTCGTGTGTGCGTGTGTGCGACGACCCACTTGCAGCAGGGTCGGCTCGGCTGTGGTTGCTCAGCTTCTCTCCTCTCCAGCTGGTCCATACATAGCGTTCTGCCTGCATCTACGAGCATGCAGGCCAGACAGACAGACAGACAGACAGGCAGACAGGCAGGCAGGCAGACAGGCAGAGACAAACACACACACACACCAGAAAAGAGAGGAAGAGATGTGAGGGACACAATTGAAGACGTCACTTCTCTCTTCTGCCTGTCTTGACGTGCGTACCTGCGCCAAGGTAGGCTGCTGTCCTGATATGAACCAACGAACGAAGCCAGCCAAGAAACAAAGGACAAACAACACAAACAAAGGACAAACAACCCAGACCCTCACAAACAACGTACAAGGGCTAGCTACCTTGCTACACACAAACAAACATACATAAAGATGCGGACACGCATACACACACGGCTGGCGGTCTCTATTCATTTCACTTGCATGCCACGCGTCTATCGGTCGGTGGGGGAGCGGAGGAGTTAGTTGGATTGATGATTTTGATATGTTAAGGGCGAATTAAGGGTGTTTGTTTCTGTGTTGCCGAGGTGTAGATGCGCGTCCACAAAACGGGGCCGGGTTTCGTTACCGTTTGTTTGAAGCGTAGAAGGCCATGAGGTGGGCGGGCGATGAGGCCATGGGCGTCGATCGAGGAGAGATGAGGAGCCAGCGAAAGCTTGGGCTCTTGTTCCTTCTTGCACAGAGAGAGAGACGATGGGGCGAAACTTCACTTACCTGTTTGGGAGACGGCCACCAGGAGAAACAGCCAAAATCTCATCTGCACGCCAACCTGCAGGGCACGTGAGGCCATCACAGCAATGAAAAGGACAATGCAGTGGTCCTTGAACATCACATCCATACACCATACCGTCACCGCAGCCAACAGAAAAAAAGAAGGTACTCACCTGAGAGGATGTTCAAAGTTTGAAGACAAAGCAAGGCGTCGGCGCACTCAGCTGACGCCAGACAGGCGTCAGACAGTCGCCAACGTTCAGCAAAAGGCAGGGCGCCACCGGCGAAGGCCTTGCTCGTGGCACGGCGGTAGAGGAAGGAAGTGGCAGGCGAAATCCGGACGAGTTGGGAGGGGCGGGAGGGGATGGGGCGGACCACATAAGCCAAAAAGCAAGTGAAAAGAAAACGGGCTATCTGTGGCCGAGAGAAGGCTGGAGAGCCGAAACGGTGGAAAAATCTGACAAAAACAATCCATTAGAATCAATGTAGGGTTTGTGGGGTTTAGGGTGTCCCGTCGAGAAAACTGATTCTCGCCGCCTTCCTCGCCAACCCGTCCATTAAGCGAAATTCGTGATGGTGACTGTCCATCAGCAGTGGCATGTCGGCGGGCGCTCCGGCGGATGACCAGCGAAAGCAACAAATGTTGAGTTTCCTCTCCAGGCTGCTTAGCCGTCCCGCTCTCTCCACCCCCAGCAGCGCACCGCCCTCCCCGATCCCGGTGCATTGCGTGCAGCGGGACACACCACTGGGCAGCGGGCCATGCTTCCCGCAGCCATTCTTCAACAACGACGGCTGCTGGGAGAGGGCAGCGAGGGCGCGGCATTTCTCGCCAGCCGCCGCGATACGGGGAGGGTGTGCGCGTTGAGGAAGGTGGCCAACAAAGTGCGGTACGGCCTTGACCAGCTGGGGCGGGAGCTGTATGCGGACTCATTTGATCTGGTGCATAGGGAGATGATGGTGTTGAGCCGCCTGCATGGGGTCGACAAGGTGGTGCAGCTGAAGGGGGTAAGCACATGGCTGCACTGACACATTCAGGCACAGAAAGGGCACAGAAAAGGAGATGGCATATCATGGCGTGGCGTGTGTGGTTGGCATCTGTCTGGGTGCAGGTTTATCACATGGAGGGGGCATCCTTCTTCGAGCTAGAGTACCTGGCGGAAGGCTCGCTGTACACCCGGTGCGGTGGCCCGACGGCCATCTACGTCGACAACTATGGCCGCAGCACGGTGTCCGAGTCCCTCGCCAGGGAATGGGCCCGCCAGCTCGTCACGGCCAACAAGGGCCTAATAGCGCGGGGAGTATACCACGGGTACCCAGCACACACACGTGGATGCAGACAGCCGCTGCACAGGCGCACCTGGTCCGGCTCATTCGGCATGTCTGTCGCCATTTGTGTCGCCTCTGTCTGCTGCAGAGACTACCATGCCAACAACATAATGTTTGAGAGGGCGGGCAGCCAGGACCTCAAGATGATAGACTTCGGCAATGCGCTCCTCTTCGACCCCTCGCAGGTACACATCCACACACACACACACGCAATACCCCAGCTGACCCCATCGGCTCACATCCCTCTGTGTCTGATGTGCACACAGGGGAACACATTCGTCCCTAATAGGGCCAATCTCATTGGCTCGCCCTTCATCCACGCGCCCGAGGTACCCACACGGCCGGGTGCAAGGCGACATCAACACAGCCATTCACACCGGATGTGTGTGTTGTCTTGCGTGTGCAGACCTTCGTGCCCCACGGCGTGTTCGACGCCGAGAAGGCCGCCGTATACGCCATAGGGTCAGTGCACCTTCTATTCCGCATGGACACGGTGAATGGTGGCGGCATTGTGTCCATGTGGTTCGTGTCGTCTGCCTGCAGTCGCTTGATTAGGCAGCTCTTGTGCTGGGGCTACGAGAATATCTCTGATACGTCAGCCTACGCGCCGGTAAGTTGGAGTGCTGCAAACATTCCCCCTGTGGCCACGTGAATGGGCTCTGTGTGTTTGTATGTGTGTGTTGGTGTCACCTCAGCCCGTGTTTGGCCGCCGGGACTTGTCCCCGGAGTGCATAGCATTGCTGACGCAGATGACGGAGGCCGACCCCACCAAACGCCCGACGCTGGACGAATGCGCCGCCAGCCCGTGGTAAGTGACTCGACCACCACACGAGAATGCGCCGAGTGGACGGGCCCTCACACCTCTATGTGTGTCTTTGTCCATGTGTGTCGGTCAGGTTTGTGCCGCCCCCGCCCACACGCACCCGCCCGGCACCGAGACGAAAGACCTGCTGCTGCTGAGCCATCCTCTACCCCACTCCCCCTCCGCACTTCTCTCTCATCTGACGGCCCTGAGATCTCAAGCCGACGTCCACCTGACCTGACCCAATCGAGTAGACAAGGGAGGCGCCAGGGTGTGGTGTTGTTGATGGGGAGATCTGCTTTTGCGTATGTGTTCCGGGTGGTGGTGCTGGCATGGTGCGGGTGTGTGTTTCCCTTGATTGTACAGCCCCCCGGCTTTTTCGCCCCTCGTCTCCGTGCATAGCTAGCGCGAGTGTGCGCATGTCTGTGTGGTGTGGTGGCTTTCTGTCCGTGTGTTCCATCCAGTCAGTGCCCCTGCGTGGAGCGTATGGATGCATCGCATCCACTGACGCACCGCCCGTGGCCGGCCGGCCACAGAGAGACCAATGAATGACCCACCCCGCTACCCCGCTTTGCCCCACCCATACAGCGCTCTACTCCGTCTCTCTTTGTATGCGAGACATACGACTTCATGGAAGGGATGATTGGTTGATGACTAACTCGGCCTGCGTCATGCGCCTGAATGAGTGTGGGAAATCTGAATCCGACGACCAGGCTGAGTGTGGGCACCAAAACACACACGGGCTACCACCAGCCAGACGGTGCACGTAATACACGTCCATCAGGGGCAGAACAGACAACAGAACGACTGTCTGTGGGTGCGTCGCATGCGAAGGGGTCACACTTACAACAGATATAAAATGTAGGCAGCAATAGAATCCCCCCTCCCCCCTCTCTCAGCAGCAGCTCTTGCGCTTCGTTGCCGGGCGGGTGCGTGTGGCTGCTGGCGGCTCGAACCTGAGAGACACACATGGACAAAGACACACAAAGAGGTGTGAGGGCCCGTCCACTCGGCTCGTTCTCGTGTGGTGGTCGAGTCACTTACCAGCTGCTCTTGGCGCACTCGTCCAGCGTGGGGCAGTTGGTGGGGTCGGCCTCGGTCATCTGCGTCAGCAATGCTATGCACTCCGGGGAGAGATCCCGGCGGCCAAAGACGGGCTGAGGTGACACCAACACACATAGACCCACACAGAGCCCATTCACGTGGCCACAGGGGGAATGTTTGCATCACTCCAGCTTACCGGCGCGTATGACGATGTGTCAGATATGTTCTCGTGGCCCCAGCACAACAACTGCCGCATCAGACGCCTGCAAGCAGACGACACGAGCCACATGGACACAATGGCGCCACCATTCAGTCTGTCCATGTGGCGTGCAAGTCGGCTGACCCTATGGCATGTACGGCGGCCTTCTCGGCGTCGAACACACCGTGGGGCACGAATGTCTGCACACGCAAGACAACACACACGTCCGGTGCGAATGGGCGTGTTGATGTGCCTTGCACCCGGCCGTGTGGGTACCTCGGGGGCATGGATAAAGAGGGAGCCGACGATGCTGGCCTTGTTGCGGACGGTCGTGTTGCCCTGTGTGCACATCAGACACATAGAGAGATGTGAGCCGATGGGGTCAGCTGGGGTATTGCGTGTGTGTGTGTGTGTGTGTGTACCTGGGAGGGGTCGAACAGTAGCGCATTGCCGAAGTCTATCATCTTCAGGTCCTGGCTATCCGCCCTCTCAAACATAATGTTGTTGGCATGGTAATCCCTGCAGCAGACAGAGGCGATACAAATGGCGACAAAGATGCCGAATGAGCCGGACCAGGTGCGCCTGTGCAGCGGCTGTCTGCACCCACGTGTGTGTGCTGGGTACCCGTGGTATACTCCCCGCGCTATGAGGCCCTTGTTGGCCGTGATGAGCTGGCTGGCCCATTCCCTGGCGAGGGACTCGGACACCGCGCTGCGGCCATAGTTGTCGACGTAGATGGCCGTCGGGCAACCGCACCGGGTGTACAGCGAGCCTTCCGCCAGGTACTCCAGCTCGAAGAAGGATGCCCCTTCCATATGGTACACCTGCATCCAGGCAGATGCCAACCACACACGCCCCACGCCATGGTATACCATCTCCTTTTCTGTGCCCTCCCTGTGCATGCATGTGTCAGTGCAGCCATGTGCTTACCCCCTTCAGCTGCAAGACCTTCTTCAGCCCCTGCAGCCGCCCCAGCACCATCATCTCCCCATGCACCACGTCGAACTTGTTCATGAAGAGAACCCGCCCCAGCTGGTCAAGGCCGTACCGCACCTTGTTCGCCACCTTGCGCAGCGCGCACACCCTCCCCGTATCGCGGCGGCTGGCGCGAAACGCCGCGCCCTCGCTGCCCTCTCCCAGCAGGCCGTCGTTGGTGAAGAATGGCTTTGGGAAGCATGGTCCGCTGCCCAGGGGGCTATCCCGCTGCACATAGTGCACGGGGATCGGGGAGGGGTGCTGCACTGGTGGCGGTGCGTGGTGGCGGCACACGGGCCAAAGATGGCCCGGCGAAGCTTCTCGAGCAGCAGCATCTCTCCGGAGACCCGAAACGGTGGAAAAATCTGACAAAATCAATCCATTAGAATCAATGTAGGGTTTGTGGGGTTTAGGGTGTCTCGTCGAGAAAACCGATTCTCGCCGCCTTCCTCGCCAGCCCGTCCATTGAACGAACGAATGGTTCATTCGTGATGGTGACTGTCCATCAGCAGTGGCATGTCGGCGGGCGCTCCGGCCGATGCATCGAATGAGGATACCATTGCTGCTGTGTTGCCTCAGCGCCGCCAATTTCACACGGTCCTGACGCAATACTGCCAGCAGGCAGAGCCGAACCTGAAGTGCCCCATCTGGTAACAGACAAACAGGCAATTGACGGCTCGATTCGCAATGCATTTCATCTTTCTTTCTCCTGTGCGTTCTGCTTGCAGCGATAGGTTGTTCGATGACCCTCGCGCCGGTCCATGCAGCCACTTCTACTGCCGGGAGTGCATCTTGGCGCACATTCACATACGGTGCGAGTGCCCCGTCTGCAGAAACTACCTATGGTGAGTGAGGTTCCCATTCGTATCTGCCGCAACAATACGATGAGTGCCCACACAAAGGAAAGGCCACCTCCCATCTGCTCTCTGTTTGCATGCGCAGCCCTCGTGACTTGCGCAAGATCGGCCTGCTAGAGAGGATGGTGACGGCCTTCACGGCCCTCCGCCAGCTATTGGACAACATTCCCGATGAGCCTCACGAGGAGGCTGCTGCAGCAGCACACGACCAGCCGCCCATGCAGCTCGACGATGGCAGGGATGGCAATGGAGCGGACGGAGAGGACGGACACAGAGGGGAGGAGGAGGAGGCCGCACCAGCTGCTGCAGCAGCAGCTGCTGCCGGACCGGCTGCTGCTGCTGGGGCATCGTCTGCTGCGCACATGGATGGGGGAAATCGGCGTGTGGTGACCACACAGGTGGGGGATGATGAGCGCCACGACCACACGCACGAACCAGACATTACTGGTATGTGTGTCTGTGCGCTGGCTGGTTTCGTTGGTCAGGACGTCGATGCCATCGAGCGTGATCTGGCGGAGGCTCAGCCTCTGGATGCGAAGATCACGAGCCTCCTCCTCGCATTCGACAGAGGAGAGTTCTCCATACCGCCAGGCATACAGGTGTGGCAAAATGCCAAACAACCGTCGTCCTGCATCCATTCATAGCTGCATGCCCGTTTTCGCTTCTTTCTTTCTTTTTCAGTTGCCGTCGACAATTCCTCATCCAGAGAGTGCCCCTGCTGCCCACTCAGAGCCGCCAGGAGAACCCGACGCAGCAGCAGCCCCCGCAAGACCTCAGAGCGAGTCGCTGCCCCCGCTGGCCGCCGCATCCCCTCCTCATGATCACCACGATGATGACGATGCCCCGCCCGCCCCTCGCTCCCCTCCATCCCCCAGCCCTTCGCCACCCCAGGCGGCCATCGACGATGAACCGCCCCCACCTGACGATCCACCAGCTGCTCAAGAGGACGCTCCGGCCCAGCGAGATGGTGGTTCTCCCAGCGTCATTGTCGATTCCAACGGTCAGGAGGTGCGGGCCGTCGATAGCATCACCGACCTCCTCTTCGCTTCACAGCCGGTCGTTCTGAGGCCCAGGAGGGCCGTGACGTCAACGGGCCCACGAGAAGAGCCGCCGATCGTCATCGCTGATGAGAGCAGGAACGCGGAGGAGCCGCCCGGGGAGCAGCAGCCTGAGGAGGGGCAGCAAGATGGAGAGAAGGCTGCAGAGGGCGGGGAGGGGGCGGATCATGATGTGGACATGGAGGATCCGCGGCAAGGTGACGAGGAGCGGCCAGACAATGCAGATGTGGAGGACATAGATGAGCCCGTCGATAGAGATCGATACCATGGCGACCATGACGACCATGACAACAACAACCGTGCATCCGGTGGCCCCCCCCCACACGACGACGAGCCCCAAGGCATCAGCCCCATCCTGCGACGGCACCCACACCCGCCCCCAGACCGCCCTCCTCTCGTCAAGCGAGAAGACGAGGTCCTATCCATCGAGTCAAGCCCACCAGCGTCGAAACATCGGCCCCAGGCAAAGGCCCCTCCCTCTCGGCTGCCGGCACATGACCATGTGGAGGAGATAGAGGAGCCCGACACCCCGCCCAAGCCGAACAGGCAGCCATGCGACAATTGGAAGTTCCCTCTCGGACGCGACCGTGGCTTCGTCAGACCTCCTGGGGCCAGGCTGGAGGGGCTGGGGCGCAAGGGGATGGGAGAGAGACGGCATCTGGGGAGTGCTGTGAGGCCCCCACCACCACCTCCAGCTGCTGCTGCAGCTGCGGCTGCGGCTGCTGCGCCGCGGGTGGCTTTGAGGCCGCCAGGTGGCGCTGGGATGATGTCGATGGATCTGTTTGGTGAGCGGGGGGAATCAGCCCCCGACCCTCCTGCGGGTGCGGCGGCGGCTGCAGCAGCGGCCTTGCCCACTCCGTCCCCTCCCTCCCCGCCCCGCAAGAATCGCAAGACATTCGACTGGCGACACTCGGATGAAGGCGAGAGAAAAGAAGGCAGCATCGCAAAAAGGGAGGAGGTCAAGGATGGGACACCTGCGGGTGATGGCGCCTGTCGGGGCAGTAGGGGCGGGGGTGGTGATGCGCTTGTGGCCGACGGGGAAAGGGAAAGGGGAAGGGCGGCGGGCGATGAGATGCAGATCGATATGGAGGTGGATATGGCTGTAGATAGAGCGCCTGTGGCGGTGCCGCCCGCCATCACTGCGCCGGTGCGTGTGGTGCTGCTGGGCAGCAGCATCGACGAGGAGATGCTCAAGACCATGAAGCAAGCATGCGAGTGAGCGACGCGCACGCACACGTGCGTTCGAGTGCCGATAGTGATGCACACATATGTGATCCGTTCGTGCGTGTTGACGCGTCCAGGTTGATGCCAGGCACTGTCGTGATGCGATGGACGCCGAGCGTGACCCATCTGGTCGTGGCTGTCGACGATCAGCAGAGGGTCATCAATCGTACCATGAAGTACTTCATGGTACGTTCGCTCATACGCAGAGGCCAAGGCGCATGCTCATGTCTCTTTCCTGCTTCCCTTTCTCAGGCGCTGTTGGGCAGCCAGTGGATCGTGACGACTGAGTGGCTGGAGGCGTCGCTGCACAACAAGCGATGGATGCCCGAGGAGCCATTCGTAGCCTCAGGTGGGCCGGCCGGGTGACGACAAAGGAGAGACAAGGGGCCCCGTGCTCATGTGTCTCGCTCGTGTGTGCGGTGACAGGTGACCTGTTCGCCGAGGGGGGGCCGCGGAAATCCCGCCAGTGGAAAGACACCAACCACCCCAACTGCCCAAAACGGTATGTGACCAGATAAATCGGACAGCCTCCCTCTCCCTCTATCGACCATCCGTCAGGTTGCTCAAGGGCCTGGCCATCTGCTGTGACTTCTACGAGCTGTCGTCCAGCGTCCCCAAGGCCGAGGACATCAACCAGGTCGCCCGACTCGCCGGCGCCATCATACTCAAACGACCCGCTGTAGCCAAGCGGAAAGCCAATGCGCCACCGCCCCCCGACAGCCCCTCCTCCCCCCGACCAAGGCCACTCCCTGACGGAGCGGCCCGCATTCTGCCGTCCCCCATTCGCAAAGCGAGAGGAGGCTCGTCCAGGCGGAGAGGCAGCGGGGCGGGGGGTGGTGGTACGCCAGATGGTGTTGTGAGGCCTCATGGGGCCCGGCTGTCGACGTCTGGCGGCAAGTCGGGGTCGCGTCGGAGGCGGGCGGGGGTGGTTGACGCTGCTGCACTGCCGAAGGAGTCGGTGGTGGTGCTCCTCGACCCAACAAAGAACAGGTAACTGACACACGTAGGCAAGGCTAGAGATGCCAAAGTGCACTTTGCTGGTATGTCTGTGGGTATCTGTGATTGTTCATTCGTTCAGTGTTGGTGTGGCTCGGTACGTGTCTGACGTGTTTCGGTGCCAGGTGGCCCCGGTGTCGTGGCTGCTGCTGTCCATATCGCACCTGCAGCAGCAGCCATTCGCCCCCCTGACTGATGCCTTCAAAGAAGAGGTGCCGCAGGCTCTTCCGTGATGGCGTGTACGTTCCGTGGGGTGCGCGCAACAACGACGAGAATATGTACAAGAATTACTCAGTGACCATGGATGCTTGCATCCATCCATGGGATGGACGAGCAAGTGTCTATCTGGGACATCCACGTATGTGCTCACGCATCAACATGTACGATCGAAGCAAGCTGCAAATGCATCACATCGCGGACACAACCCACACCGACTCACTCATGGATTGCTCTCAGTGGCCATGAGCGAGGGCCGATGGGTGACCTGCGTGTCACTGATCGGCTCCCACTCACGGTCCTCGCAGAGCACGCTCCATGGGTGTATCGACGCCAATCCGTCATGCCGTGCACTGCACGCACCCCAACACACACCCCACTATGACACCAACGAGAGAAAAGCTGTTCGTGTTCCTCATCAGCCCCCCCAAGCGATCCGGCCCATCCATCCATCCATGTGTCACTCATTCAAGTGGTCTTGTCGACGCCCATGTGCCGAAGGTCATCTTCTGTTGCGGGCGGTGCAGACGGAATCAGCATCCTCACCCTGTCCTCAGCCTCCTTCCGCCACCCAGGGAACAGAACCGCCACACAGATCAGCGCCATAACCGTCACCAGCACCAGAAACAACAGGATGGACAGCCCCGTCACCAGTGCCAGCAGCTCGGGATTGAGAAGCAGGGGCAGCAACAGACTCAGCAGCAGCAGGGCGCCGACAACCGCACAGGCGACGCAGCAGCACATGGCAGGCCGTCGGCTGTGCTGGGAGTGAGGAATCGTCGGAGCTGCATCCACAGGCACACGCACACACACAGAGAGAAATCCGGGGATCATGCGCTGCTTGTTTTTGTCTGCTGCCTTACCGATGGCACGTTGGAATGCATCGACCTTCCAGTCTAGCTTTGCCTTCTCGCGGTAGCTCTCCAGCTGGAGAGCGACACTCTCGGCCATGCCATCATGGGCTTGGGCGGCAAATTTCTATCAGGTCTTCCCTCCCTGTTTCTCGTGGCCTCAGATCTGCAGCCTTCGCTGTCAGGGGTCACTCTATAAGCTCGCAGCCACTTGCGAGCTTCGAGAGCTGAGAGGGAGGAAAAAAGACTGCGGAGCAGGAAAGAATCTCCCTTATCACCATTCACCCTTCAGCTGATCAGCTGGATTCAAAGATCTCAAAGATGCCGAGGCTGACGATGGATGCAGAAGCGGCCTCAGATGATCCCTCGCCAGATCCACCGCAGCACCTGTCATCGTCAGCCGCCGCCCTGCCCTCGGCAGCGCCCCGCCTATCGGCTTCGTCTGACACGTCTATAGGCGTCCGAGGCTTGAACGATGTTGTGCGAGCAATGGTGCAGCGCAGGGGACTGACGTCAGTCTTCGAAGAGATGGAGACGCTCCGACGCGCGAGAGGAGAGGGCGCCCACAGGAAGGATCTCACAGTCAAGGATCTCACGATTGTGGTCAGCTGACCGATTGAGAGCAAGAGACGGGATCATGTGGAGGTCTCGTTGGGTTGGTTGTTTTGTTCCCTTTGGTGTGTTGGTTGTTCGTTCAGGGTGTGTCGTCTGTGGTGGGTGCGGGCCTATTTCTAACGCCAGGTCAAGCTGGGGCGTTTGCTGGTCCTGCCCTTCCGGTGGCCTACATGATGGGGAGCATCGTTTGCATTGCTCCCGCGCTGGCCATGGGTAAGTGGGTGGGTGAGAGATGGGTGGACACAGCATCCAGAAACAGCGGTTTTATGTGGAATATGCGCGTGTTGCAGGTGAGCTGAGCTCACAGTACCCGTCTGCTGGGGGTCTCTACACAGTTTGCTATATCCTTTTCGGCGAATTCATCGCATACCTGGTACGCCCCTGCTCACGAGTGTCTCTCTTCCCCTTTTCTCCTCGCTTTGTGGATGCGTTGATGCAGCTGGCGTTCTCCCAGGCCATCATGTATCTGTTCGCATCATGTGTGGCCGCGCGAGGCTGCGCCCAGTACCTCGCCGCATTGCTCAATATCATCGGCCTGCCGCAATCTGTGACATCGTATCTCTTCTTCGAGCCGCCGGCACCCTTCAACGATCTTTTCGAGGTCTCTTTCGTGGCGCCTCTGTTCCTCCTGGCCGTCACCACTATCAACAGCCTGGGCTCGCATCGCGTTGCTGTCTTTCTCAAGTGGAACTTCCTCTTCAACTACTCTTTGATTCTCTTCTTCATTGTGGCTGGGGCGGTGTTCTTCAATGCGGCCAATTTCGTACCCTTCGCCCCCAATGGCATGCAGGGAGTCCTGGCTGCCGCATCTGTGGCCATTTTCGCCTTCCCGGGGAGCGAGACGATTGCCAACCTGAGTGAAGACTGCGAGTCACCGTCCCGGCAGATTCCGCTGGCCATGGTCGCCACGCTCGCCATTGCAACAACGGTGAGCAACCAAGCAAGCAATATGTTGACAGACTTGACTGACGTATGGACCCCTTAAGATGAACGCGCGCACAGGTTTACGTCTCGGTCAGCGGAGTGCTGATGGGTATGGTGCCGTCGGGCTTGCTGGACCCCCGCGCTCCGCTGTCTGAGGCCTTTCGGTACCACCACTGGGCCTGGATGGGGGGGCTCGTGGCGGCGGGGACCATGACAGTGCAGCTGCCCGTCATGTTCTCTATCGGCATGGCTAAGGTCAGCCACTTAACACGATAGGCGATGGATGTCTGAGACAGGTATGTGTTGTGTGTGTGTCACCAGGCCAGGATTATCCTGCAAATGTCCCGTGACGGATTGCTGCCCAGAGTAGGCAAGCCACTCGTGCGAAGGTGTGTTCTGCGTCTCATGTGTTCATGTCTTCCACGTGTGTGTAGGCGTTGAGCCGTATCGACCACCACGGCACACCTCAGTTTGGCGTGGCTCTCCTAGGTGGCATCGCCGCCGTCATGTCGGCTCTTCTGAGAATCGAGGCCTCAATGGCCCTTGCCGTGGCTCTAGTTATGACCAACTACGGTTTCAGCTGCTACTGCGTCCTTCTGAGGCGACTCGCGCCGGTCCATCGAAGCCGACAGGACGGCCGCGGGGAGTCCCCGAGATCGAGGGCGGGTGTGAAGAGAGAGGTGGTCATCACGCTTGGCGGGCTCTTTATGGTGGTGTCTCTGTGTTTCGGCTACACAATCCACGTGCCGGCGATGGGCAGAGCCATGCAGATAACTGCGGCTGTGTGCGTGCTGGTGCTCGCCGCGGCTGTCTGCGTCCTGACAGCTGTGACGAAGCCGCGCCGAGCCAATAAGGCGGTGATCGGCGTGGCGGGTGAGCCGCTGCTGGGCGAGAACAATGAGCACATGGACGATGGGTCAGAGTCGGTGGCTACCGGGTTTCTGTGTCCGTTGTTTCCTGTGCTGCCTTTGGTGGGGATGTTTCTGACAATGTTGACGGTTGCCGGGTGTGGGTGGCGGGTGCTGCTTGAGGTGCTGGGTGTGTGGTGCTTTGTGTCGGTCTTCTACTTTCTTTATGGCATTCACTACAGCGCCATCAGACAGACTGCCGCTGCGCCGATCGAGTGATCACTCACTTTGCTTCCCCGCAGTTTGTCTTATGGAGTGCATGAGTGAGTCGGGCCGTCCTTTCTGATGGCATGTCTGTATGTCTATCTGTATGTCTGTTTGTGTGTGTGTTATTGTCTGTGCGCGACGTGCGTGTGATGTGTATAGATCGACCCTACCTTGACCAACCATGCCATACATGCCGTACGTAAGTCTTCTTTGTTTGTCCACTCATGCCATGCACTCACCCCCCATCCACTCATCCACTCCACTTGTTCATTCATTCATTCGACCTCTGCCGGTGGTGGGTCGGGGTCGCCCGCGTCGTTTCTGTCCAGCACATAGACGTGGCTGTGGCAGGCCAGCGGCGCCTGCACCCCGCCCACTGCCCCTCCATACACACCAGACTGGTCACCACTGCCTCCCTCCTGCCCCCCCTCCCCCGCCTTAGCCTTGCTGGCCGCCTGATGCGCCCGCCTGTTGGGCACCGCCTCGATGCCCAGGTAGCAGTCTCTCAGCCGTCTCTCGTTGGGCAGCTCCTCCCCCTCGCAGATGAGTGTCTGGTTCTCCACTGCAATGGCCATGTGCTGCGACAGCTGCTGCTTGACGTCGGCTATGGAGTCGTGGAAACACATCTCAAGGGCCACAGTCTGGGCCGTGTGGGCATTGGTGAGGAAGAGCACCAGGGGCGGCAGGGGGGGCGACTCCACTATGTAGAGGTGGACATGCGCGGCCCCGGGCGGCAGGCCGCTTTCCTTAATTTTGGCCTTGTTGGGCAGGAAGGTCCCGGCGCTTCCTTCCATCAGCACCAGACGCCCCTTCGGCACCTCAGGGGCGGGCGGGGCGTTCTGCTGCCACAAGGCCAGCAGCCGGCCCTTGAATGACAGGACGGTCTCCTCCAGCTCGGCTTCAAGGTCGATTTGCCGGCCGTCTCCAGGCAGGTGGACTGTCGCAGCGACGCTGGTCGCCGCGGCGGCTGCCACCTTTTGCCGAGTGTGCTGGCGGGAGAACGACTTGGAGAAGGACTTGGATGCACCGGCAGGCGGCACATCCGTGCCCTCCATTGACTTGTCCATGGGGATTGTTAACGAACGGAGGGGGCGTAGGGAGACGGGAGAAGCCCGCGAGGCGCGGCGGGGAAGGTAAACGATCTCGATATTGGGGATATCAGCGCAAAGCACATGAAGGCAGGCCTGGGAATGACAGAACACAGCAGATCTGCCGTGCCACATTGTCCTTTCTCTGTTCTTGCAGATGCAGGTCCTTCTTGGCGCCGTTGTCATTCTCTCTTTTGCATGGTTCAGCGAGTGCGTGAACGGCCGGAGTGGCCGTCTGCGGCATTCCCTTGCGCAGCCGAAGATTCCCTCTCCTCACTTTATGACCCAGATCTTCACTTTGAAGGGTAGTGAGCCCAGATCTGCTCGAAATATGGCTGCCTCCTTTGTTTTCTCCTCTGTCAATGGTACAGATTGCGGTTATGGCGGGGACGTGTTGAGGCTGACGGCGGATGACATGCACGAGGTCAAGGAGGGCGACGCCATCAAGCCCGTCTACAACCAGGAAGGTGTGCACATGCCCTTTGGAGCGGAGAACGATGGACACTTGCATTCTCCTTCTTGTCTTTCTGTCTGTCTGTCTGTCTTTCTGTGCAGCCCCGTACGCTCACAACATCCACAGCGTCGAGGTCAGCCATCCTAAGATCGACCTACAGTGATTGTGAGTGTGTGGATGCGGGTGGATGTGTGGATGCGATGCAGCTGTGTGGTTTCGGTAAGGTGGAGCTCTTCGAGTTTGCCGACGGTGTGACGCTCACGGAGGGGGTGAGCCGATGCAGGGGAAGCGCGTACGAGTGCCAGGTCAGTATGCAGGCAGGGCAACGCACCATACCAAGAGAGGATGGTGCTCTGCCTGCACTGCATGATGCGCATATATCAGTGTTTCCCAGTCGATGCCAACAAGGGCGTCCTCAGCCTCTCGCGAGGTGAGGATACTCATCCATATCCCACATCTCATCTCATCGTGCGATGGCGGCCCATTTCTGTCCTCTCATCTCATCTCCGTGTGTGTGTGTGTGTATGTGCAGTCCCCAATGCATGCCAGCAGGAGTAGCTCGTGCCGACGCCTGCTGCAGTGGGCTAGCCTTTAGACATATGTGGCTGCATGTGTGGATGCATGCCTCTGGTATACGATCGCAAATGAGAATGCGGGTGTGCACTGCACTGCACAGGACGGACGTCATTCAAGTAATGTCGGTCAACAAGCCACCATGCACCCATCTGAGCACAACAGCGAATACCATGGAGAGACGTGTGAGAGAAGAAGACAGAGCAACGCACCATCCACACGAAAGTATGCCTCGACTTTTGTCACGAGGCGGTCGGCGCGTGAGAGACACGACGTGAGTGTTGTGAGACTCCCCGTGGGTAGCTGACGCCCTTCTTGGTGTTGCGCAACCTCGTCAGCCGCCGATCCACGCGAGCCAAATACTCTACACCACACACACATACGCACATACACACATACACACGTGTGTCATGGAGAGCTCCTCCCCTTTTGATTGCCACTTCTGACTCTGAATGACCTGAGAAAGTGATTCTTTTCTCCTGTCCGTCGGGCCCCTTGTCCTCCTCGCCAAAGATGGCATGAATCTCCTGCAGACAGACAGACAGACAGACAGAAAGCCAGAAGGACAGAGACGTAAAGAGGCAGAAGGTTGACCGTCCAGTCTCTGTCTGTCTGCAGGATGCCACCGTCCGTTCCTGACCTGGTCGAGGAGCTCTCGTCCATAGCGGACGAATAGGATCTGCAGCGTCTGCTCGACGTTGATCCGGCCCTCGAAGTGCTTATCGTACATCAGAAACTGAACCAAGTGGAACAGCTTCCTCGGCTCAAGACCTAGAGACAGGCACCACCCACCCAGCCAGCCAGTCAGCCACAACGCATATGTGTGATGGTTGTCTCAGAGAGAGAGAAGGGAGGGAGAGAGACGGCGTCGACCTGCCTACCTGTTTTGTCGTTGATGCATCTTTGGTACATGATAAGGAACTCCTCCCAGCTGATGGAATGGTCGAGGTCGTCATCCACCTCCCACACCATCAACTCTATCTCCCTCTGCACGCACACACACACCCAAAGCCATCGTGGGGCTCCCACTCTCTCTTTGATTCGTCAGGCGCCGACCTTGTGCATGGGCGCCCCCAGTTTGTTGAGGACGTCAGCGAGTTCCTGCCAACTCAGCTTGCCGTCCCTGTCGGCGTCGATGATGGCAAACACCCTCTTGAGGGCCTCGTACTCGACCAGCGATATCTGCTCCTCCTGTTGACCTTCACTCATACTCAGAGGCTGCGGCAGCCCCTGAGGACCCGCACGCTGGGTAGAAAGAGCCGAAGATGCCGTCGGACCTGCCATCGCCTTTATCCTCAGAACAACCCTCAATCTAAGCTCGCAGAACGCGAGCTCTCGGCCGGGGGCAGCACCTGTGGTTCGAGATCTCAAGCAGATCTGTGGACGATGGATGGTGAAGAGCGACCACCCGTGAAATGTTGCTGAGCTGAACCAAAGATATGCTCAAACGAGCCAACAGCCTTCCCAGCAGCCGATTTTTGCGCCATGTGTGCCTTGCGCTCGCCCTCGGCCTCACAGGCAGCCTCACCGAGCCCGCCGCATTCGTCGCCCCGTCACCGAGGACTCCCTGGCTTCTGCAGCAGACCACCCGGAGTCGCCACATGCGTCTGCACAGCAGGTGGCGGCACAGCAGCAGAATGCCATCACGAGACCAGCCCGTGCACCCGAGAAGCGAGGCATCTGACGATGAAGGTGATGGAGAGGCGGGCTGGCCTGACCAGCTCATGAGGCGATTTCTGGAGACCAGCTCGTCCGTGATTGGGGATTTTTCACGCTCCGTGTGGGTGTTGGCTGCCCTGCCTCTGCTCTGGCTGATTGCTGATCCGAGCTGGATCACATCGCTCTCGTCCTCCGTCGGCCAAGTGCTGCAAACCAGCCACACGACCACATCATCGACAGCAGCGGGAGGAGATGCCCGTCCTGTGTCCCTCTGGCCGCCCCCCGCGTATGCGGACGATGAGCTGCGGAAGTTTGCGGACAACGGCAACCCGGTGGCTGTGGACCCGCTGTGCTTCGTGCGTCGGTGTCAGCTGCAGACCAAGGCGTGTGCTGCCGACCGGTCCTGCATGAAGGGGCTCACCTGCCTCGCCAGATGCAGGGGCGACTCCATGTGCTCTACCAGTGAGTGGATGATGGAGAGGCAGATCAGGGAGAAACAGATAGACGAGGAGGGTGTGTTGGTCGGTGTGTGTAGGTTGCTTTTCCCGTTTCGGGTCGAGCACATTGGATGCGTTTCTGACGTGCAGTGTGGAGAAGGAGGGGTGCGTCAATGTGCCGCGGGACCTGGGGCCCGCCACGTGGACATCACCCAAGGAAGACCAGGCACCGTAGGCGACACAGACAGACAGACAGACAGACAAACCACACCACACCACACGGGCACCGCATCTCTATCTACGCGGCGTTGTTCTGTGTGTGTGACGTATAGTGGCCCCGTTGATGATTTCGACGTCGCATCGATGGAGGGTACCTGGTACAAGGTGCTCGGCATGAACTCACGGTCAGCCAGCAAAGAGGGCGGAGGAAATGGACACAGAAAGACGTCACCGGCTGCCCTGCCCCACTTTCCTGTGCGGGTGTGGTGTGCAGGTACGACTGCTTCGACTGTCAGAAGAACACCTTCACGCCAGCTGAAGAGCCAAACAGTGAGGGAGCAGATATGTCAGTCTCTTTGGTGTCGATGCATGTGTGACATGCAATCCTCGTTCGTGTCGTGTGTGTTGTCTGTCTGTCTGTCTGTCTGTGCAGAGCCGTGGCGTGTCGCTGTGGAGTTCAGTCTGCCTCGTCCGCGTGGCGGTGCGTGGAACAACCGCGTTAGCGAGGACATGTTCCCGGAGGCCACACCAGACATGCGCAAGCAGAGGAGCTACCGCACCAAAGGAGAAATGTTCGGACTCACTTTCTGGGAAAACTGGTGAGCTCAGCTCAGTGGACCCTCCCTCCCATCACCCACACCCACTCACCCACCCACCGCACACACACGTGTGCTGACCGATCCATGTGGCCTCAGGTACATTATCGGCCAGCGTGACGAGGGCCCCGACCCCTACAAGTTCGTCTACTACACGGGCCACACGCTCCAGGGCAACTACCGCGGCGCGTTCGTCTATGTCCGCACTCCCACCTTACCCCAGAGCATCGTGCCAGAGCTCACCCAGGTGGCCGAGCGGGCCAAGCTCAAACTGGCCGACTTCTGCGTCATCGATAACGACAAAGTCGGAAGGAGGCAAGACGGAGAGAGGGAAAGGGAGAGGGAGAGGGGGGGCATGCGGCTGGCGAGGACCACCGGCAAGGCAGCCAAGGAAGACATTGATCGAGGTGGGTGGGTGGGAGATGAACCAGGCAGGCATTCTTTTGTGAACCGACCATCGATCCATCAATCTCTCCCTCCATCCATGTATGTGTGTGTCAGATGCGAACCTGCGTTGGTTCACGAGTCGGTCCATCCCGTTGTGGAACTACCGCTTCTTCGAGCTGACTCGACTGCTGGCCGAGGAGTTCAGCGACTGGTTCGAAGACCCTTCCATCACCTCACAGTGGCTCGTCGAACAGCAAAGACGGTACGTGACACACTTCACTTCATCCCCCAGAAACACCCACCACCCACACCCTCACCATAATTGCCCTCAAGATTACCCTCCGGTTTGTCTGTCCATCCAGGGTGATCCTGACTCAGCCCTTTGCCGTGTCGCCCTTCGCAGAGAACCCCTTGGGCACCGACGCGTCCGTCAACATCGACCCCACCGAGTATCTCCTCAGCTCCGGCAACGTCCGCAACGAGCAGCTCCGCGAGAAGGTCGAGACGCTCGAGGAAATCTTCGATGCCAAGGCCACTGTCGACCCCATGGACACCTCATCGGTGGAAGGGCTGCTTTCTCTCAATGGTGAGGCGATGCCCGTGGAGGTGCTCAACACCAGAGGGCGCAGCAGCAGCCCCTTCACGACCACCCCAGCATCACGGCGGATGTCACTCATGCTGGCCAGGCGGGGAGCGGACGGATCGGCCGTGCGGCCTCCGTCGCAACTGGACATCCCCCCTCTCCCCGATGAGCTGGAGATGGAGGTCTTGCTTCCGCCAGCGCAGTTCCTCACCGCCGAGCAGCGGGCCTTCATCCGGCAGTACTCGAGGCGGCCCTGCCTCTACAGGCCGACCACACAACAGCAGCAGCAGCAGCAGCCGTCGACGGCTGCTGCGTCTGCGTCGAGGGTGCTGCCGGGATGGCTGGGCCGCATCACCAATGTCAACAACAGGGTGCCGACGGGCGGGCCGGGGATGGCCGAGGCCGCCATGCCCTGACGGACATTGCCAGCCCACGTAGTTAGATACATCCTGTAGCTAATGGGCCACGCAGGCTGGCAGGGATTTTTAAGGCTTTCTCATTACCACTAGCTAGCTAGTATTATGATCCATCCATCCATACGCTGGTTGTTTGTGTTGCCTTTGCTGCTGATAAGGTGTGGTTTGTGTGGTGGGTGGTTTGTGTGGATGTACAGGGGGCAATACGGGCGGGGGGCAGCTGGTTGTGGATACACAGCACCCATCGCATCGCAGCGATCGAGGGAGGGCTGTGACTAGCGTAGACAGAGAGAAACAGAGAGAGAGAGAGAGCCCTGAGTGTTGTGGATAGACAGACAGCGAGCGACAGGATCATACATGTTTGCTGCGGGCGTCATTTCGAGGCGAGAGTAGGCGAGAGTTCGGTTGACGAGTCGATTGATTGTACGAGAAAGGGGGCATTCATTCAAAACGGACGGACGGCTGCACGCATGCATCGATGGGCGTGGCATGCGCCGCTCGAGTCAGTCAGTCAGTCAGAGTTTGGACGGACACAAACCCATAAGTAGTACTGAATAGAATAGAAGGGTGCGGTGCGATCAACCATGCCGCCACCACACCAGGACATGCACACATACATGCACACATGCCATGCCGTGCAGACGCCTGCCTTGTCTTGTCTGTCGACACACACTGTCTGTCAGCTGGTGCCGACGCGGGTGTCGGCCCGCCCGGACCGGATGCACCTCCCTCTCCAGCCAGCTCGGGCTGGGCTAGATCGGCGGCGGACATCACATCCACCTCCGCTGGCACACCAACACAGTCAACTCAGTCAGTCAACTAAACGCACGCACGCCTCACTCACCATTACGGCCGTCAGTCAGTCAACCTGCTCGTGCTGTCCAGCGATTCGCCGCCCAGGTTCTAGAAGACTGTCTGCTCAGCCAGCACCGGCTGCCACCATTATTCCGTAATGGCGCAACACGGTGCGGCCACCAGCGGCAGCACACTCACCATGCCAATCACTGGCAGGCAGGCAGGCAGGCAGTCATCGACTCCACGAATCAGTCAGTCGGTCGGCTCACGGCGAGTCAGTTATCCAGCCATCCATCCATCCAGCCATCCAGCCATGCAGGCGCACACACATGTGGAGGAGACAGGCGGAGGGCGTGTGGATGTGTCAGTGTGTCAATTAGTGAGTGAGTAGAGTGGGTGGGTGGGCGGTGCGGTGCATCCTATCCTTGCACACATGATGCATGATGCGATGGATGACTGGATGGGTAGCTGGGGTGGGTGGGTGGGTGGCTAGATGGCTACAGGGCAGGTCCTCGATCCGATCGAGGGCGGACAACACAAGACGGCCCACCCATCACGGACGGACCACATGCGTGTCTGTCTCTCTGGCTGCCGGTTCCTCCTTCACTCTCTCCCTCCCTCCCCGCCTGTCTGTCTGCAGGTCACTGTGTCTGTCAGGTGAGTGAGCACACACACACGCGCTCACGCACACACACTCACACGCACGCTCGCAACCACACAAGACGACGACCGTTGCACATTGCCTTGATCCATAGTGGCTGAATAGGTCCGTAATCAGGCAGGCAGGCAGGCAGGCAGACACGCGCTCTCTGTCCTTCCGTCTGTTCCCTTCCCTTAACAAAACTCTGGGCTGTGTGTGTGTGTGTGGCTTAGCGGGTGGGTGGGTGTGAGTGAGGTGGGTAAAAAAATCATGAGCATGGCGTGGCGTGGGGTGGGATGTCATGTCATCAGCTGATGTGATGTGGTGGCATGGCATGGCATGTGTGTCAATGAGCGACAAGGAAGGAATCGAATCCCCCGCCCTTTCCCCCCACTGCTCTTCGTGTGCAGACAGACAGACAGACAGACAGACAGAGAGAGAAGACGACCAGTCAGGGAAAAGGAAATCGGCCACACACCACACTCGTCCATTCATCCATCCATCCACTCAGGCAGGCAGGCAGGAAGTCGAACAGGCGGAAGGCATCCACTCACACACGGACACACATACACCCACACATACACATACACACACACACACACACAAGCAGGCGACGGACATCCAGACACGCCAAGCGGCGCGTGGACACCAGCATTTACAGACAGGCAGACAGACAGACAGACAGACAGCGAGAGAGAGAGCCAACCAGCCAGCCAACCAACCAAGAAAGTAATGTAAGCAACCAGGGGTCCTTCCTTCTAGGTACAGTTACAACACTTACAAAACAGCCGGAGAAGACGAGACAAGAGAGGAAAAGTTGGATGGATGTCATCTGAGTGGGTGGTCTGTCTATGAGTCTAGTATCGCCCGCCCAGCTGCGGCAGCCAGCGAATCCCCTCAGGGCGATGAGGATGACGAGGACGCCGAGGGCTCCTCGTTGAGGAGGGCGCGGGGCGCCATGTGGGGGCGGATGTCGACGGTGGCGTTGGTGTCGACGTAGTAGAGCATCATCGCTGTCCGCTGGCCCAGGTACTGACAGACAGACAGACACCATCACACAACACAACACAACACCACACAGACACACACAGAGAGAGAGAGAGAGAGATCTATGTCTGACGGATGGTGTGTGTGGTTGGTTGATCTGATCTGTACCTACCTGGTCCTTGCGCAGCGGGTGTGGCGACACGCTCGTGTCGTTGAATTGGTACCTGAAGGAAAGGAAGGCCACACACGACACACACGACACACAGCACACAGCACCGACCACAATGACACACGAACACATTGATGCCCGTCCATGGAGTGCGGTGCGCGTGTGTGATGTGTTGTGTGTGGTGCTTACCACTCGTTGTTGGCGCCATAGCGGCACATGGCGCGGTAGTGGCCCGAGTTGACACGCTGCCCGTCGTGGGCGATGAGGCCCACCAACTCGTAGGTCGGCACCTCGTACTTGGACAGAAACGACCTGCACGGACACACACACCACACACACACCACAGGCGACAGACAAATGCAAAAGTTGATGCGATGGATGGATGGATGAATGGATGGATGGAGACCAGTCTGTGTGTGTGTGTGTGTGTGTGTGTCCTCCGTGATCCCACTCACTTGGTGAGCCACTTCTTGGAGATGACGAGTTTCTCCGGGTAGGCCACCATGTGCTCCAGCTGCCAGCACAGCACAGCACAACCAACCAACCACCACACCACAAAGTGTTCATTCTCCCTCCCTCCCTCCCTCTCTCTCTGTGTGTCTGTGTGTCTGTCTGTCTATCGTACCTTCTTGCTTGCGCCCGTGAATTTGTTGAAGCGGTATCGCTTCAGGTGCAGGATGAGGATCGGCCTCAGCTGGTCGAAGAGGCACTGCGTCTCGGCCGTCTTCTGACGGTGGCCGGAGTCGTCCTCATCCTACACACACACCACACACCACACGCGCACACGCCACACACACAGACAGACATAATGAGAAACACACAATGGCTGGAGGGTGGATGTGTGTGCGTGTGTGTGTGTCTGTGTGTGTGTGTGTGCTTACGATGCACTCTTCAAAGGAGCACCAGGCGTCGAGTGCCTTGACCAGCGTGTCGTAGCCGTCCACCGGCACGTCGAGGATGTTGAAGTGCTCGATGACGGCCGACTCACGGTGCTGGCCCTTGAGCATGTAGCTGTCGCGCTGGTACGTGCCTCCAAACATCCTGCAGCCATCCACAGGACATGACATGACATGACACACAGCAGATGTGTGTGCGGGTGGGTGTGCGGACAGCACATACACTTGGTGCCCACCGGCGCACAGGCGAGTCGTAGTTGTCGACTCCCAGGCGGATGTCCTTCTTGCGGCCACGGCGGTCGGTCTGCATTAAGCGCACACACACACACACGCGCATTGGTAGGGTATGTGCGTCATGCTTGGCTAACTGCTTGTGTATGTGTGTTGGAGGGGGGGGGAGGGGTTTGGGTGGATGGCTTACGTGGCACCACCCGTCCTCATCGGCGCCCTTGACGTTTTTGGCCCGCTGCATGAACTTGCACTCCTCGTGCAAGTGCTCCAAGATGAAGAGGAAGAACTCAGCGGCGTCCTGCTGACGCCCTGCACACACAACAGACCACACACCACACAGCACACACCACACAGCACGCCAAGAAGGATAAGACATCCACCGACCCACCCATCCCATCTGTCTGTCAGTGTGTGTGTGTGTGGTGTGGCGTACCGTGTTTCGGCTCGGTGATGAACTTGAGCCATTTGTCGAGGACCACGCCCGCCACGTCCTTGGTGTCGAAGGGGTTGCTGTTGGCCTTGCGAGTGGTCGTCACGCCAGCGCCGCCCCACGCAGCTGCATTGCACACATCACATCACATCACATCACACACACATGACATTGCACACTGTGCGTGTGATGTGGTGTGTGTCGTGGAGGGTGGGTGGCTGACCCTTTGACGTGTCGATGGGCTTTGGCTTCTTCCAGTCTTGGAAGAAGTTCTCGCACAACGCCCGGATGGCCCGGTGGAAGGTGCGGCCACCCCGCCGCTCTTCAGCCTGAGTGATGCGAGGGAGGAAGAAAGATATCAGAGATGAGCAGGGTGGCCAACACACACGAGGGTGGAAGCGATGGAAGCGATGCACTCACTGGTGTGTGTGTGCATGGTGTGTGGTGGGCAGCATACCACGTCGCACTGCTTGAGGAACTCGACGAAGAGGCTCAAGGGGCAAATGTTCTGGACCACCTGCACAGCACATTCGCGCAGCACAGCAGGGGCATGCGCGTTCATATGCATGTGTGTGGCTGGGTGGGGTGGTTTCTGTCCATGTTTGTGTGTGGGGGGGG